GTAGAACGTCATCTATAAAATACATATATCGTGACTGCAATTATAAAGAGGTACATGTGGCACTTGTCAACGTTACATTTTTAGTCACGATACAAGATAAATTATCTCGTCATGTCCAGAAGGCTATCACAAAAAAATATGATAATTGATCTTGACTAGATGAGATAGAAGTTGGTGTGTCCCGACAAAACCAGCAAGTTATCTTGACGAGATAGTTATCTATATATAGGATATATATAAGATTGTTTAAAAATTTAATTTATACTTTATACGCTCATTATGTTAACCCCCCCCCCCCCCCCGAATTCATAATTTGCAAATTTACTAATAAGCAATGGCACCATTTTCTTTGAACAACCCAAATCTATCAGCAAAATAACTTGAATGTAAAAATATCCCAATACAATATCACTCGAGTTTTCCTTCAATAAGAGTTGAACAAAAGATAAATTCCCTGGTAATAATATTATTTGTAAAAACTTTGTAGAATTAATCTTATCGATTTCTTTAATTTGTAACAGGACTGTCACGGTAATTCAGTCGGTAGAGCGCTTGCTCCGTGATCGGAAGGACGTGTGTTCGAATCACGGCCGCGACTGATCTAAGATAATTAAAAGTAAGTAGCAACTGATCCTTCGCCAAGCGCTCGTCATTTTGAAGTGAAAGTTACGGGTCCTTCGGATGAGACCTCCGCGTTAAAATCCGTTAGGTGTTGGCACGATAAAGAACCCTCACTGATCCATGGCCCTGAGTGCCAAGTAAAGATCTAAATTTGAGGCCCTTTACTGGTATATGGTGACGTCTCTATATGAATGAAAATTCTTTAATGGGACGTAAAACAACATACAATCAATAAATTTGTAATAAATTATTCATCACTCATTTAAGGCTAGTTAAATCCCACACAGCAAGATATAAAGAAGTCGCTGATAGTCTAATCCACACTTTGCACAAGTTCTGTCCCTTTGCGTGGTCAACCAAAAGGTAAAAAGGGAAAGAAATGACTTCTCCTCTTTATCCTACCAAATATTTGGGCATGCTCCATTGAATCCACTGTGTGTAAATTATTTTCTTTTAGTGTATGGGTAGCCCCATCCTGGGGTATTCAATATACAAGATGCACAGATATTTATCCAGTCAAATGACAAAGTTAAAAACCGAACACTACAAAGTCTACTATGAGGATTCTTTTGGTTTTTCCCAAATATGGCAGCCAAGGGACATAACTTTTGAAAAGTGTGGATTCACGTGTCGACAAGACGTCATCATGGTAAAATTTGACACATTTTATGTGCATTGAGAGGCGGATCAATTAATTTTTTCACAGTGAAAAATGCATATTATTATTATTAAAGAGAATATTATTTGTAAATGTTAGGTAGATCATTAATACAAATCTGAAACCTTTGTTTAGTGACATCATTTAAAAACTATCGAGAGAATGCATTGAAATAATTCTACCGTGTTTTTGTACAGTGTTTGCTGTTTCACGCCGAGGTGCTTCATTTAATCGCCTTTTCGCAAGGGCATACACTTCATAGATCTTGGCCATTCTTTAAGTAAACATACATGTAATGGAAACATTCCTTAACTTGAAAAGTGCTGCTGCTTTCCTGAAATCGAGAGCATTACACAATAAATACATTAAATACTTGGTAAAGGTCACACATTTTTCGACTAGAGCTGAATAACTTGAAATTTGAACAAATAAAATGCGAATTCTATTTAAAGCAGAACACTTTCCATTAACTACAAGATACATGTATATAGAAACAATTTTATTACTAAATTTTTTATTTGAACTAGTGTATGCCCTTGCGATATTGAAATTTGCTCATGACCTACACACAGTACACTTCGTATACATTTATCACGTGACTGTCAAATAACGTGGCAAAACCAAATAATTAATACAGAGAGGGATATACAATGTATTTCAATTAATATTAAAGTCATGAGGTAATATAGTAGCTCTACAAAAATAAATTCAGTTTAAAGAGGTATGTATTTATGCTCATTCATATTCCATTGATTTCTTCGTAGTACGCCTAAACAGTGCTGCGTATTATTCTGCTGTGACAAAGTTTAGATATTGTCACTGAAAATTTAGATTCTCTTGTAACCATCTACTGAGTTAGATGACTTTATAGATACCATGGTAAAACAAACTTTATTTTCTTCTACTTTCCTAGAGCTTGTCATATGAAATTCACATACTTAAAGAAGAATGGTTTTTATTTATTATCAGTTAACCTAGCCTACAGTGCATCAAAAGGAGACTCTGCATTTGACGGACTCATGAGTACAAGTCGTAAGATAGGAATAAATGAAGAACTAACCCTCCCCGGAGTCTTCATCGTGTCAGCTGTGAACATCTTTCTTGGTACATTATTTTTATTTTTCCAAACTTATGCATGCTTTTTCGCTCAGTATGTCTGTGTACATGCTCGTGATTGTTTGAGTAGGCTTTCTTTTCCAAAGTATAATATCATCATTTTTATTTCATTTCTGTGTTACTAGGAACTGGAGCTATTAACTCATTTCTTCAATACAACACAATGCTGTTTTTGTGTGTAAATTTGTTGTAAGCCGTATTGTTGAAATAGGGACGAGAAACTGATCACATCACAATTTCATCCATCTATAATCAATTGTTTCAAATTTGTTAAAATGAAATGACTCTGTTCTAGTCATGTTGTTTTTAATTACACAGAAGTTCAAAACTACCCAAGTACGGTAAGAATAACAGTCTACGAAGGCATAACAGTATATAGTGGACCGTTGCAGATGCATTCAACATTTTACTTTAATCAAGCCGTGAGGACGCATAGATTGTTATTTATATTTTCTTCGCCTTTGATGGTCAAGGAAATCGAGGTTTTTGGTGGTATTTATCTTCTTTAATACTTTGAGTATTAATACTATTTAAAGTAAAATTGTACTGTGACACGATGGAGATATTAGCAATACAGAACAGGACCCATGTAGGCGGAACTATTAGCCCTATACACTTTGTTGTATAATCTAAAATACAAAGGGATCTAAAAATAAATTTGAATATATCAAAAGAACGTACAAATAGTACATGTACTAACTGCTGATTTTTTCTTATTATGAATTTTGGATTAATATTATTTTCATTGCAAATGTAAAATGTCAAATTTTCTCAATCACTTAGAATTTCATTCCGCACAGAATCCACATTACTTCGATCGAAACGAAAAGAAAACTAAACTGATGCTTTGTTGGATATATAATTATAAACATAAACTTAAATTTAGAAACAATTCAAGTTTATCAGGATTTTTTAAAGATGACCTTTCGTTGCCGGCGGATACTACAAATGCTGTACAACTAAAAATGAAAGGGGTTCAATTTGATGAATCGTGTCACAAATCATTTAGAGAAACGTGTTCTCCATCGCAGATACGAATTTGGTGGTGGAGACGAGACTCGTCCACATCAAATTTGTTTCTTCGATAGAAAACACGTTTTGTCAAACCTTAAAAGACATTTTGACTATAGCACTGTAAGCCAACTATTGTTAACTCAATTTCTATTAGCGATTCGTCGGTGGGAAATCTATATCTGCGACCATTACTGTAGATTCCTAAATATACGCGAAGAAGAAATTATCGCGTAATTACGCGAAAAGCACCACTCGCGAAATGAAATTACTCGCTTTTATTTTTATGGTGCTTTGATATGTATGTTAAATCTCTAGATAAATCACCCATTCGCAAATAATTGTTCTCGCGATTTGACGCCCTTGGGCCATTTTGCGATATTAAGTACTCGCGTAAAATAAGGAATCTACAGTACTTTTCACAACTGAGGAACATTCTACATAAGTTAACAATTTTATAAATTTTTCGCAGCGAATAATATTCTCTAGTAAAAAACGGTCCCGAAACTGGCAGATATTTTTTGCATGCGATTAAAAGGTGGTTTTAAGTTGGATATTGATATGCGAGACAAACTTTAAAAGCATGTTTATCTACATATGTTCCAAGTATATATTGCTCACATTTTTGTAATTATAGTAATTTATGCGATAAACACATCTGAATATTTTTAATTTTACCTTTGCAGCATTCTTTATTTGTTAATATTTTATTCGTCCGTAGTTTTCATTAAATAAACTATTTGATAAAGGTAAAAATGTGGCTTTGTGGAGAGAAACCTCACAGTCTAGTACTTATAAAAAAAGTCAAAGTTATACATCAGACAAGGCGGTTGATGGTTGGGATGGCAACCACTATTTCATCGAGAACACTTGTATGCATACACTACCTTATAGAAAGAATCCGTTCTGGAGCGTAAAGCTTGGAGACCTTTATAGGATATTGTCTATTTATATATCAAACAGAGGTGATTCTCGTAAGTACAGTTTGATTACTCACTATATTCAGTATATAGCCAATCAAAAAATAGAAGTTTCTATATTGATTCAAAACAGATTTCTTTTTTGTTTTATTTGACTACATGAAAAGTGTATCAGTATATGGTGGGTTTTTTTAAACATATCAAAGGAGTATTTAGAAGAAAAAATCCGAAGTTCAATACCTTCCATTAGTATGAGCATCTTTGATGCTAGTTAAAAGCATCAGGTAACGCTAATGGTACAATGTACGTTGAATTTGGGGATATATTCACTGGTACCTGCAATATTCGACATGTGACTAACTTTACAGAAATATATGATATTTTTTACAATAATAATTATGTAGCTGATAATTAACGATGGGTAATTATATAAAAGATCATCGTATCGTGTTTTAAAGCAATCCAACACATATAGCAACATTAACAAGAGTAGACAAGAAGTCAAAAGAGACATGATATTTCTTTAAAAAATTATATACATAATTATTTAAAGGAATCAGCAATAAGTAATTGTTGACACCTTACATTAAAATTATATCAAAATACTTTGTGATTCAAATTCATATAATCTTTTCAATCGTTTCGTTTACTTAGCATATGTAAAGGCGCGAATAAACGGATTTACTCTGCATATGAATCTTGCCTCTGGAGAAGAACGTTTGATTTACACTGACAAGCAACAAAACAGTGGAAATGATATCTGGATCGACTCTTCCTACATGCCGAGTGAATTGGTGAAAGAGGTTATTATAAGGGGTGATAATATCAGTCATGAAAGGATAATCAACCTTTGTGAAGTATACGTTTTAGGTATCTACAATTAATGTTATGTTTTAGTTTGCTTTATTTAAAAATATATGCACATCGTTTTTCGACATTGATTTCGTTACTTTTTGTGTTATTTGACTATATATAGATAAGATCATGAGGTATTTAAAAAGCATTGACTTTTTCTAATTTAGTTATTGTAAACTTTGAGTACATTTTTTTAAAAATATTTCTTACTGACACAATAAACCTAAAGAAATCTATGTTTATAATGAAAATAGGTTGCAATCCCATTAATCAACAAATTAACATATTGATATCTACAATAATTGTCAGTTTAAAACTGTCATTTTTTTTAGATGAAAAGTAATAATTTCTATTTAGTCACTACCTCTGTTGAAAGAGAACAAATATAAAGACTTCTAAAAATGCAATACAAACTTACCTTCTTTTATTTAGCATGTATTCCCTCAAAGAATGGTGAGGCAGATTGTAATCATTTGTTTCCCAAGAATTGCCATCCGTCATTTGACAGAGCAAATGACAACCTTAGCTGTCCAATTTGTCTCTCAGGTTGGACTGGCAATTATTGTGATATAGGTAATACTGATGAAATATTATTTTTGAATTATCCCATTTCATGAAAGGTATAATGCAGGAGCATTTTTCTTTTAACTTTCCAAATTAATGTATATTGTGCTTCAGACAAAAGTTGTTCTTAGGTAGCATGTTTGTGCCTTAAGTAAATGTCGTATCTAAATGTCAAGGTCATAGTAACAACTGGTTCATGACATCTCAAAAAAGCTTCTTGGTGCGTGGTTATAATACCTTGGCCCAAAGTCTTAAAAATCAAACTTATTGTACTGTATATTCAGTCGACAGTTGTATCAAAGAGGTTCATTTTTGTAAAATGCTATGCGCTCATCCCATTTCAATCACATACTTACGTGAACTTTTATTTAAATATTTATCATCTAAAGTTGTTTGCTCCACTCCCAAGTGCAACCGATTATGAAAATAATTCTTAATAAGATCAAAGAAAATTTAAATTCTTCAAAATATAATGTGTATTGAAAATATACAATAGTTCTCAAATTTGCAGCAATTTATACAGACATTCTCTATGAGTTTAAATTACTGTTCTTTTATATTTTTATGACTCCCAGAATTTAAATGTACTAAGAAGAAGGTACGGTTTTAGCTGTAGTATTGTACCCTAAAAATTTAATGTTTTCAAAAAGTTTGGAAACTGGCTTAAATAAATAAGTTGTCTTGAGTAAATGACTGTGATAAATCAGGAAAGAATATGGCATGAAGGAATTCTGGAAATATGACATCATTAATTTGATGCATTTCTCTATTTTAAACAGAAAAAGCCTCAAATGACCCATTTCAAGGGTTATTTTCCTTAGAAAATAGTGTCCACAGTGGTCGTCTACTTTAATTTTCGGATATGTGGTGTAAATTTCTTTGCTCAAAATCTTTGTGGCCGATGCCTGTGGACAATATTATCTGAAAGAAAATTCCATTGAAAATTGGTGTCTTCTGTGACTTTTTAAGAAATACGGGAAAATGCACAAGTTTATGAGTTACAATTAGCATTAAGAAGGTCATGTGAGAAAAATGATTTGCATGATCTTTCTGCATGGAATTTCAATTTAATTTCAGGAAGCTTGCGCTCCAATTTTTTTTTTACATCACTTTCATTTTAAAGAAAAACACAGGACAATATTTGTATTGAAATCGTACCTTGTTCTGTAAAAGAAGTTATGGTCAAAAATAGCGAAGAATAATGCCAAACCAAGGCCTATATTAGACTTTCGTTCTGTTAAAAGTTTGATTTATTATCTTCTGACCGACTTCCAGAGAGAAGCTAAAAAACGCTAAACTTTAAAATAAAAGTAATATACTGATGTTCAAAAGTCGTCCAGTCATTTTTTTTTAATCTTTGGTTTATATTGTATTTTTGTGATTCAATCAAACAACATTTTAGTACAAAAGAAAGAGATATAGCAAGGAAAATTTTAACATCAGATTATATACATAATATACAAACATAACGGGCATGACCAACATATGCAATAAAAGATGATTGACAATAATGTTTCATTGATGCATTAGAATTTCTGCCAACATCAGCTGAGGATAGGAATGATCCCACAGTATATTACGAACGATTCTGGAACTAATTTGAGTTTTTTGCTATCCTGGTCCTTGCAATTCCAGCCTCTAACATTGCGCTGATGATACTAGTCCGTGCAACTTATTTAAGAATCAAATTAAGTTTTTGTTAGAGTTACAAAGCATTCATTACAAAGTTTTGCTTGTCTTCAAGCAATAAACTAAAAACTAAAAAAAAATGTATGACAAAAACTAAGGTGTCCAAATACTTCAGCAAATGCACTTGCATCATTTGTCAAAATAGTGCAATAGCTTATACAGGTGACATTTAATCTAAAAAAATTAATGTACAGTTACTTTTTTAATGAAAAAAATCTATATGTAATTATCATATATTTAAGAAATAACATATCAATATCTCTTTTGAAAAGAGACAGAACAAAGATATTGCAAATACCAAAAGGAAAGGACGATAAGCAGTAAAGGAAATTGTACTAGACAGGAGCGCTGCTTTGGAGAATTTCGGGAAACTGATGGACAATGTACATCTCCAAAGAACCAGTGTGAACCAGGATGGATGGGACCGGGCTGTCAATATGGTAAATAAAGGGTATCTAGTGTCTTCTTCATCAGAAAATAAAGAAAAATGTCGGTTTTCTTTTCTGTTCAGGCCTTCCTCATCAATAATTAAACAAAGCTATCATTTTTTTATTCTGTTCAGATAAAGCAAAGAGGGGATTAAGTTTTGACAAGGTCCTTCTAATAGATGCTTCAAGAACGTTTTCCAGATCAAACAGCTGCCAGTAACATACTTTATTTGATTTTACGTAATCACTTTATATACAAAAGGAAAAGGGAACCAACGTTCATACATGTCCAAGATCGAATTAGATGTCGACATCGACGATATCGACAATATTATGTCGATATCGCCTCGATATTGATTCTAATCAGTACTATTAATTGGAAATACTTGATACAATATATGAGACTTGGTGATATGTCGATGTCGTCGAATGCCTTACAGCCAATAAACAACAAGTGGAATCAAACTACAATAATTATTCTTTAATAAATATGTAACCTCATTCTTTATATACCGTTTAAGATGGGTCATATTAACTCGATATCCGAAGAATCAAAGAACTTTTAGACATCCACTAAACGAGGTAAAATTCGCACATTAAATCCAGTTTTCAAGTCTTTCCGAACCCGGAAAAAGCATACTATATATTTAGCCTTTATGGAAAGGAAACCATTCTTCTCAGATTTGAAAAATTACAGTTGCTTTTTTCCTATAAAGCCCAAGCCGAGAGCATACGACATTTTTGGAAACCCCCTGAAAGTTGGCACGCTGAAAGTGATTAGTCAAAAATGTTCTAGAAAAATATAGTTGACAATCGCGTCCCCTGTCAAATCTTGGATGCAGTATTCGGCGAATTAAGTGGATGACTTCATCTACTCTCATACCAGGGTACAGGGTTTGTGAAACACATCTTAAACATTTCGTAAATGCTCTTGATAATATTTTTATATAAGAATAATTATTGCTGAATGTTTTCAGTAGTTATTCTAAAGGCTGAAAGGTTTTTTTTCGAAAATACGGAGTGTTTTTTAGTTTGACCCCATGTAAATTCGGTGTGACATTGATTCCTTTTCTTTTTATATATACACTGTATGTAGTGATCATGTAAAATCGGGAAAAGTATGTTACTGGATCCTGTGATTACATAGTGTCATTATGCACCTCCATTTTATGTTCTGATCGGACATATATATAGGGTTTTCGATAGCAAAAAGATATTACTCATTATACTGATATATCATTTTGTGAGCTCATTGCTCACAGTATCTAGTTTTAAATACAGTTATCTAATATTAATCTTCTTTATGAATTTTCGTATAACAGTCTTCGAAAATTCTGCTAATCTCTAAAACACGGGACTTCTTGTTTTCGTATTACATGTATAATAAGATATTTTTCTGCCGTATTATTTAATTCAAGCAATTACAAGTTCTATTAATTTGGCCAATTTCCCTCAGAGTTGATTCATCAAAGTTCCTATAGTCAGCGATTTTCTAGAACGTCTGTTTGGAATTAAGTGTAAAAGGTAAAGATAACGAACGATGAACACTCTCATCAATCTCCTAGACAAAAACCTTTCGCTAAAGGGGCAAAAACATAAACTCCTCTAATCAGAGGTGGGATCAGGTACCTAGGAGGAGTAAACATTCCCTGTTGACTGTTCACACATGCCGTGAGCACAATGTATTGATCAAGTAAACGGGGTTCTCTGCAGTCAAATCCAATGCAAAAGCAATAATCTAACAAATGGTTTGTAATATATCAGGGGTACCTGTAAAATGCGAAACGAAATAGAAACGAAACGAAATAATACGAGACGAAACCTACCAAAACGAAACGAAATCAAAACGAAACCTACCGAAACGAAACAAAAACTACTGAAACAAAAAATAAAATAAAATGGAGCAAAATGAAATATATATAACAATTATGATTTAAAATATATTATATAGTGTATATTTTAGAAGTAACGAGTCTCTTTTGATACGCAATGAAAGATAAAAAAAAGATTTTGCGCGTTTCTAAACGTGTGCATTTGTAAGTATGGATTACACTTTTAAATAGATAATCTTTTATAGTTGTATAATTCTTAGATACTGTGGTTTCATCATTATTCGTGGAACACCAATTTTCGTGGATTTCGTTGTTGAGTCGATCCACGAAATCAAATGTTCATCGAAGTTTGGTGCCTCCATTTTGATTTATGATAAACCTTTAAAAAGCCTATTACGACTTTCGTTAATATATGTGAATACCCCCCCCCCTTCCTTTCCCCAACAGGTTGGCTTTATAAACGTATTTTATCATTTCAAAGAATTTTTTTTTTTTTTTAAATACTGTTAGATAATTAACTGACAATATTTAGCAAAATATATTTAAATATTCTGCACATAGATAAACAAACAGAATGTACGTAAAACCGCGGTTCATATACTAATCAGTGATATAACACAAAGGATGATAAATAATCAGGTTTGAATGTGTAAATTTGTTATTCTCAAACAATCTAACGGTCCAACACCAATTATCACCTACACAATGAAAACACAAATTACCGGAAAATAAAAATTTCGGTATAAATAATTAATTACTCTCTGTTCATAACTGGCTTAAAAATACAAATTATAAACACAATTTTATGCTAATTTGACTTTGAAACAATTTTTTTTGTTAAACATGAGAAAGAGGGTACATGTATGTATGTTCGGAAGTCCTGTCGTTTCAAAGCCCTTCAAGGCTTGTTTGTCATCCATTTTGCATGTTAAAGCGTTGCATCGTATCCGGCAAGCGTGGATTTGTTTGTTCAGAGATCTACATGTACAAACAAGGGGGTCTGGATGTCACTGTCGAGTCCAAAAACAACACGCTGTGCATGTGAAAAAAGTCTCTAAC